AAGATAAAGGTGAAGTAGAAGACGATTTACAGGATTTCATTCCTGTTTAAGACCTGTTTAAGGAGAAAAAGTCGTATGACAAATATGACATCAAGAAGTTCCAGTGAAGGACTGTGGTGAAGCAAGTCATTAGCCAGTCTTGCTTCAGAGGACTTGAGAAGGACATTGTTTTCATCTGCATATTGTCTGAGTTGTTCAACCAGCTTCATAGTGTTGGCAGAATCACAGGGAGGGACAAATAGATTTAGCTGAAGTTTTCACATGTTGGAACGTATTTTCTCTATGGGCTTTGTCACCTCTAAGCAGCTTTCAGTCCTACTCCTAAACTGGTTTTTTTTGTTCCTTTAAACATTTGAGAGAAAACTGAGGAGGGATAAACTTTCAGAACTAGTAGCTTTTTGTACGATCAGCCCAACAGACTTTATCTTTACAGAAACCCCGTTAAACTGATGACTGAATACTCAGATTCTGTATTCCAAACCAAAACTAAGAGATTAAGGAGTTTGTGGTATTGCTGATAATAATAGCAACAAAAATTACTAATATTTCATATGTTCACTATAGAAACAGGTCAAGAAATTAGTTGTTTACATTATTATTTTGGTATAAACAAGCCTTTGACAGAAACATACAAAGACTAAAATCTTAACGTAAGGCTGTAGTAGGAGTTGTGACTGGAATATCCAACAGTAATCCCACACAATTTAGTTTGACAGGCTAATTTTCTAGTAAATTGGACTTTTTTACAGCTTGACAAAATGGATGATGATGATTACTTTCAGCAGTAAAAAGAAGCATTTGGATTAGCAGAGTTGCCATCTTAACAGATGTCAAATTTAGTTAGGTTTTGAAGTCCATGAGTTGAAATGCGCTGTATAAAAGTTTATGATATTTGTACCTGGAATGATGATTTCTCATTGTCTTTGTTCCACAGCCTGCAGTGTTGCCCTGTGAGTTAAATGTATGCTTATGATAAAGAAGTTACAACTACAAATGAGATCTCTAAACACTAGTTCAGGTATCAGATACTGGTTTTAATGAAAAATGCCAGATGCAGAGCAGCTGAAAATAAGCATCCCTAACAAGCTGTACAGAGGCTTTGTCGGGCCGGGGGGGGCAGAATGAGACACAGTTTTTAACTGTTCTCATTTGATGCTGAAAGTGCTTTTGAATATGGAATGTGGATGTTGAGGGTTAGGGGAGACTGTGGTGCTGAAGTACCTTCAAGTGTATGCATTTGCTGGGCTTCAGTAGGAATGAATAAAATGCATAACCAGACTTAGCTTTTTCTATAGTTACAGTGATGCATCCCAACACTAAATAATCTAAATTAGTTCTTCAGTGTTAACAAATGCTAGCATTTCTACCTTGGGCTTTTTGAAAGTATTTACTGCCATTACAGCCAGAAGGCCTGACTTAGAAAACTCGGGAAAGAAAGAGAAAACATTTCAATATAGTTATCATTTTTAGCTCACTTATCTCCCCTTGTATGATACCCCCTTGGTATCTATGTCCAAGGATTTCCCTTGATGAGAAGGCAGGTATGTTAACTAAGGAGGAAAATTCCAGAAGCATTTTGTTTCATAAAGGGTTATGCTGTTTGCGTGTTGCAGCACTATGTCAGAGTGCCAGGTTGAGTGGAAAAAAAAAGAAGAAAATTAATTTTTACTTCTCCAAAAAGGATGATGTGTACTTGTAACAGTCCAGCCTTAGGGTGCTAAAGCATTCCTTTGGGGCTGTGCTATCTGGATCTCACTGAAGAAGAACAATGATTCTGTAGTTGTGTAGTTGTAGTCAGATTTAGATTTAATTTGCTAAATTTCCACTGACTTAAGTGAAGAGGAGACTTGGAGGCAGCGTGCCTGTCTGTAAACCAGAGAGCATGTTGTGTAGCCATTTTTGCCTCTGCTTTTGCAGAGAATGGGTGTACCAACAGACTTTTTCCTTGTTATTCTTTTTTTAAAAATAAAATTAATAGACAGGAATAATGTTTTCAAACTTCAAGCTCTTTCGAAAATGTCAGTGGTGCCAGCCACAAAATGTGACTTTGATTCCCAGGCTTTCAATTCCCAGACTGGAAGTAAGCATGCAGTCCCCAGGCAGGGAAGCTGGAAGTGTGGGTAGTCCTGGGAATGGAATCTCTTCAAACAGATACTGCTGTTGACTGGTACAAAAATAAAGTCTTTTTTGTGCGCTCAGTCTGACTCACAGTTAAGGGTGAGCGGTATTACTGAACTGTTTAAAGTTGAGTATGTGTACAAACAGGACTGCGAATTCTTAAAACACAGATACTTAGCAGAGGCAGATTCAGGAACTTGAAAAGCATGGAGACATCATATAATATGGAAAGCCAGTGCATTCAGAGCTTCAGTACATTATTAGTGAATCTTTATATCATAAGTATATCAACATTTGCAAGCCATACTTTGCTTTGATACAGGCAGTGCTAAAGATAAGAAAGTGCATACCCTAAAAAGGAGAAACAACACTGTTTTTTTAAAACCGCTTAAGATAGGTTGGAATGTGGTGCCTAATTGAATAAGTGTAAAATAATTGCTTTGTTCTTTTATGTTGTTTTACAATAAATTCTTTAAAAATAAGTTCTTTCCATTCAAGGATGATAAGGAGTTATGATAATGATGGGTTTACCATAATCTTAGCATGCTGGTTCTCCCTGGCCCCTTTCTCCTGTGAGAACAGCACAAGGATGACAATGGTGACACATCCTCAAACTGTTCTGTCCTCAAAGAAGTGGGTTCTCTGTCTTTTTTTTCAGAACATAAAGCATTAAACTCTAGCCTCAGGACTATTGTGTGATAAAATACCGTAGCTGTGCAACTGTAGGCATTGGTTTTACTGTTCCGGTTTTGGATTAAAATTTTTTATGAAAGTTCTGACATATTTTCCACAGTTCAATGTGATTGTCCTGTTTCCACGCTTGCATCCATTCTCTTCTTTCTAATTGCCATCCAGTAGAAAATATTTAAGTTGCATTAAAATTTATGATGGTTATGGAGCTCTTACTTTTCCTATCTTGCTCTCTAGTTGAAGAAAGGATCTCTTCTCTGTATTGATCTTACATATTCAGTACAATTTGAAATTAATATTGATACCTTTCTCCTGTGTCTCATATTTGATAAGCCTTTCAGTGTGCAGAATTAGAGTAAGAAACCTTTTCAATTTTTCAATGTATAGCTGTCACGAGGGAGTTTTCAGTGGGTGGAATTACAGCACTGGATAGATGAAGAACAGAATAGATTTTTCTAAAGTGCTCAGTTCTAGTCTTAGTCCTTCATTTCATTGGTGGATGAAGTGATTACTAAATAATTAACAAAGCACTTTTTGAGATCCCTCAGAATGAACTGCAGAGTATAGCAAGATAAAAAGCCCACTTTCTGAATTCACCTGTGATTTTAGCATTGTTCATTCTGGGGCACTCAGAATAGTAGCATCTGAAAAGTGCAAGATATGCATCACAGAAACATAAAGTCCTGAAGTTGAACACGTGCTATACCGGAAGCAGTGAAATGAATTTGTAGGCCATTTTCTCAATTAAAATCTTTTAGAAACAAGCTCTAATCAAAGGTGATTCTGCAGGGTTTTGGTTTTGTTTATTGGGATATTTTTGGCATAGCCAATACTTTGGGAACGTCTCTGGTGACTCATAAAGTGTGTGCTTTCCAAATCATTTTGCAAACCTTCCTGCTCAACTAAAACCTTTTAGGTACTTTGGAAGTTTGTCTTTTATTCTTGGAGCTTGAGTTTGCATCAAACCAGGGAGCCACATGGAGGTGTGGGGTACAGGAGAGGGTCAGCAGAGCTCCTTTGTTCACAGTCTTGGAAATTTGTATTTTGATCCAAGAAACAGAAAAGGCTGAAGATAAACTGCATTAAAATCATACCAGTACTACTCTGAAGAGGGCTCACAGCGTGAGGAAATTGACTCTGGAGACAGAAGGATGCTATTTTTTCCCTCTTGCAGTGTGTAACGCAAGAAAGGTTTAGCATTGGAAGAACAACAGCAGGATCTCAGTTGGGGAAAGAGTGGTAATTTCATTTTAGGAAGACTGGACTAACTTGTCACATTTAAAATGCTTGCAAGCTTTTTGTATGTAATTGCTTTTCTTTTCTGAAACTCCAAAAGGGGGTGGTGGTGTGGTGATGTATCCATTAGATTGTTTGCAGAAACAGCTACGAGCAGCATAGTGTTGTATAATTTCATATGAATAAAAAGTTTCTGTGAGCAATTGGAAGGTATTTTGCTGCTGACTGGCTAGCAGTTAGCAGTGAATGGCAGTGTTATACTTTGAACATTTGTGATACCACATGTACATGTGCCTAGAGAGTACAACTTAGAAACTGGAGGTTAGGTCAGGGGGAAAGTAGTAACTGCCCACATCACATTTAATCTTTGAATAAACAGCAGTTGTTGCTCTGCAGAGCATCAGTCTACGTGACACCCAAGCATCAGGTACCCTTGTCTTAAAAACATTATGTACACTCTATATAATGTAACAAAGGTACTGCCATTATTATTTCTCTCAAAATGTGTATACAAATTGACAGAATTTTTTGGGAATATATAATTTTGTCACTAGTTTAGTAAAAAAACCTACCAACCCCCCCCAAAAACCATGCTTAGCAAAGATATGTACGTGTTTGTTGGCCAGTAATGAATCCAGTGAAACATGGACCCAATAGAAAGTGTTACAAAGAGCAAATCCCATTTGAATTATTGCCTTTATCAGGCAGGGATATTAAAAGCACAATTTTTATATCTCTGGGAAGACTACAGAAGAAAAATAGCAGACTTCTTGGTAGATTAAAGACATTCTTTCCTCCATTTTCTCTGGTTTTGGTTGGGTTTTTTTTTCCCTGTGGCACAAGGTGAGCTGGAGTAGGGGGGACGGCAGGGTTGGTTTGTTGATTTCTTTGTTTTATAAAACATTCCCAAAGATTTTTTTTTTTGTCATCTGTTTTTATACATCCATTTTTAAAAGTTTCAGGGACCCAGGAAGACGATGTTTTATGGATAGCAATGGCAGGCACTCATCAGGTGTGGGCATTGATGTTGGAAGGTGGAAAACTACCAAAGGGAAGGTAAGCAGCCGTAATAAGAGACATGTGAAATTGCTGTTTGTTTTGATAGCCAGCTTTCAAACCCTGAAGATAGAGGTAATCAAATTAGGTTAAAAATAATTTTTCTCAAGCTGTACTAAGCTTGAAGCTTGCTGCTTCTGTTCAGACTTAAAAGGCAGGTGTGCTTTAAAGTCCGCCTGCTTTTTCCCCACATCTGTTCGATGAAATGGAAGATACTACTTTTGCTATAAAATGATAACTTGGTAGGGTACATTCATGTAATTGAATGTTATTTTTCATTGCATTTGCTGAATTATCTAGTGATGAATGATAAACTGAGGGGAAATAAAAGTTAGCACCAAGGCATTGACTAATTCCTTGTGCCGCAGTATAGTTGGTTTTATAACTGTAAAGTGCTTTGTGTTGTAACTTCTGTTCATGCATGACATCTGAAGTATTTCAAACGGATTCTTGAACTGGGGGACTATTTTTCTGTAGCAATTTGAAGAAAGGGGTCTGCCTGCGTTTCGCTGGGAGCGGAAATGAGGAGAACAGAAACAACGCGTACCCGCACAAGGCGGGCTTTGCCCAGCCCTCGGGTCTCTCGCTGGCTCCCGAGGAACCCTGGAACTGCCTCTTTGTCGCAGACAGCGAGAGCAGCACCGTGAGGACCATCTCCCTGAAAGACGGAGCGGTGAAGCACCTTGTAGGAGGAGAGAGAGATCCATTGGTAATCACTTCAAACTTCCCCACACTGCCCTACTAATATTCCTCGAGCCTGACCTGGAGGAACCACTTTTGGGGTGAGAGGGTAAATCAGTTTCCGTGGCCGTCAATTTCTTAACTTCACTGCTTGGAATGCAAATGTGTGCCGGTTGTGATGCTCAGGTTGTAGTGCAGGTTGTTGCTCCTCAGATAACAAATTACTTCACTTATTTCTTAGAACAGCCAATCTGATTCAGCATTGTGTGGTCGTTAAAGCCAGCTGGTTTCATATTGATAATTTACATGTGAGAGTTTCCATTTCCATGGTTAGCATCCACACTTCCCAGTTTTCAGTATCCTTGTTTTTAAGTTGTCTTGACTTTTTATTTTTTACATCAACGAATTTCCATTTAATTAGTCATTTAAATTCATGCCAACATTAATAATCAAATGTATTAATTTAATAAAATATTTTTTCAGAATTTGTTTGCCTTTGGTGATGTGGATGGAGCGGGCATTAATGCAAAGCTGCAGCATCCCTTAGGAGTGACATGGGACAAGAAGAGAAAACTGCTCTATGTGGCAGATTCCTATAATCATAAGGTAAGCATGTAGTAGCTTGTTATATACAGGCTTTGCTGTTGTCTCTACGACAAGGAGTTATTTTAGAAACATACAAAGATTGTGCTTTGATCAGTTAAGCTGAAGAAACAAACGATATGAGCTCTTTTGTGGGTTTTTTTTCTTTCCTTCCTTCCCTTGTGGGTCCTCTTTACCATTGTTTTGCTGTCACACGCTGCTGTGTTGATATGATGGTCCCTGGGGGAAGATGAATTTAAAGTTCCAAGTTACAGTTCAGACTAAAGACCTTTTCCCTTTCTTTGGATGATGCTGAACTAGAGCAAATGAGCTAGGAGTGCTTAGCAAGGAATGATGCAGGTTTGATAAAACTGGGAGAATCAGAGGAATTGCTTTTCCCTTAAAAAAGCTACCCAAGTTTTGAGAAATATTGTGGGTTCCCTCTGTGAAACTCTGAGATTGTTTTGCACAAGTGTTCTTCTGTGATGTTGTATAAGCCTTCATGTCTAGAAGGTTAACTGTATGTAGATCAAATTCATTAGAAGAGAATTAATTTGTTTTAATTTGAAGAATGAAGTTTATAACACTAAATGCTTATTGAAATTTATGTGGCAAATGAAATTTTGTTTCAGATAATGTATAAAACATAATAAACTTTTTTGCTGTTACTTTAAGAAAAAAACCCTCATCTATTTTTAGAGAAAAAATGATATAGAAGTTAGCCTGCCAGTTTTATTATGCTCTTATTATTTTGCAAATGTTTCCGGAACAGCAACAAACATTAGAAAAACAAGCCATTCATCATACTTTTTATACCAGAGGAGTGGGTGCCTTAGAAATTATGAAAGAGAACACTGAATGAAGTCCAAAGGAAGAAATAAAGTCTGGCAGGGAATGGTGGAGGGGGGGAATATGGGAGATGTCATTTGGTAAAGTATGATAACTGAGCTTCTAGGACACAGGCTTGGTAGCCAAGGTGCTCAGAGTTAGCGCTGGCTTCTGAAAATGTGGGGCGTAAGATAATGCAGAACTTCTAAATCCTGGTGGCTTTTATTTCAGATAAGTTTTTTTTGTGTTTTTGTTTATCTTAGATTAAGGTTGTAGATCCCAAGATGAAGAACTGTGCTACGCTGGCGGGCACAGGAGAGGCAGGAAATGTTATTGGTTCCAGCTTCACACAGTCAACTTTTAACGAACCAGGGGGTTTGTGTGTGGAAGAAAATGGCCGCTTGATGTACGTCGCAGACACAAATAATCATCAGATTAAAGTGCTGGATTTGGAAACAAAAATTCTTTCCATGGCAAGTAGTACTTATTTAACAGGCTGATAGTGGTTTTTCTTGATATAAATTACTATTACAGATTTCAGCTACCGATATAAAAATCATACAGCTAATAAGCTTTTTGGGCACAGTAGCTCTATGCACAGAGTGTTTTGTGATGACCTGGCAAATAAACATTACCTGTTAGCACAGTTCTTGAAAGTCTTAATTCTTTGGAAAGGCAGCTTTTGCACGAAAACAGAAAGTGATGATCCTCTAGAAAAGAATAATACAAACCCATGAGTTATTAAAAAATACAGCCCAGTTTTGCAGTATGAAAAGCATTTCATAAGCAGGTGCAACTCCCTTTGTAACAAGTGGGAGCTGAAATAGATAGTCCTGTAATTGAGCCATAAGGGATGATTTTGGGAGGTCAGTGACTTAAAGCAGGATACACAGCAGACTTCCAAGTTGTCAAATCAAAACCACTGGCATAACTGAGCGCTGCTGTGTTTGCTTATAAACATGAAGGCAAAACAAATTTGTGCTCCTGTCATTCTTACAATGGCACTATGTCTCAATGTTTTCATATATGTGTATACATATATATAACATAATGGTCCAACTGTCTTCCAGTATGTTTCTTGCATTTAGCAGTACACAATCTTGATGTGTGTTTAAATTTTCATATCATATAACATGTTGGTTGGTTGCTTTTCTGGGAAATTACCGTTAACTGTGCAACAGTTAAAATCTTGGATTTTATTACCAAAGCATGTATCCTACCACCAAATTAGAAGAAAATACTTACAAATTTTATTTAAAGTAAATCTATAATGCAAATGTTAACATTTTAAATTAAAAATATACTCTAAGTAGCAAATACCCTAAAGTAATTGGGGATTTTATGATCTTAATAGTAAATACTATTTTTATTTGGATTAATCAGTTTTACCTTTTTCATTTTAAAAAAAATCCTTTTGTCCTTCCCTTTTCTTTGTCACTGTAGTGTTGTTGCACTGTCAGAAAGTTTTAGTCCAGTAGCCATATTATCATGTGTTAGTTTTCCTAGTCTGTGTCAGCTTTGAAACTGATTGTATTGTGAAAGCCTGTTTGCTTTCAGTACAAATGAAAATAAATATTTTGTTTGATTTCTTCTGGTAGTTGCCTATCCTGAATCCTGAAGCATGTGATGTTCCAGATAACCTTCCTCTGCAAAAGGATAAAATAAAAAGCCTTCCAAAGCTGCCTAAATCTGCACCAAACATTCAGCTTCCTTCACTAACTGTGGCTCCTGGCCAGACAATTCAGTTTTTATTGAAGTTGACTCTTCCTCCAGATTCAAAACTGAATGAAGAAGCACCCAATTCCTGGTTTATCACCGCAGAAGGTAAAGTGCCTGTGTTGTTGCATCAGTTGAATGGGAGTAGGTAAGATACAAAGTGGGTTATATCACGACGTGCCTGCAACACAAGGGACCTCAGTCTGATGAATCAAAATGTCCCTCTGAGTCCTATGTTCCCACTTGACCTTGTGATGCAATACATGTTATTTAGAGTTGATACGTTTAACAGCTGGAGTGGGAAGATTAAAAAAAAGAACCCACCTGGTAGGCTGCTTTTTGCTTTAAGTACTACATGCTGAATTTATTTTATTTTTTAACTTTCTTGGAACAAGCTGCCAGTGAGGGCTTGCAAAGGTGCTGATCCCAGAACAGTGGAGCTTCTTGCTCCTTGGATGCTTCTCCTCTCCACTCTGTATGAACACCTCATCCCAGCCCTACCGTTTGTTTCTGGGGAAAAGCTCACCATGAAGCTGAAGCATAATCCTGAAAGAGATTCCTTTGCTTTTGTCTCTTCCAAAAAGTATTTGAGGAACTTCTATACGTAATCACTTTGAACCTACTTTGCTATAATTCATATTTGCATATTCCTGTTATAAGGCACACTTTCTTACGGTATGTCAAGGCAGCAGAAATAATTGGCCTTTCTTGCAAATTGTTTTGCTGCTTTCCTGTGTGACCCTGGACAACTCTTTCAGTCACTATGTACCTTGGTTACTGTGAAATGGGAATACTATTATTATATTGGAATAATGGAAACAGTATTTCAAGGTATGGCAGATTTCCTGAGCCTAAATTAATCCCTCTCAACTCTTAAGTATTCTAAAAGAGCACATGGAACATGTTTGCATGGTGTACAACTGGAGTGGTTTAATTCTAGCCATTGTTGCCATCCTTACACTGGAGATTGCTATGCCCATAACATGACTGGTAGAACAGACCGTGTCAGAGTTCCCTAAAATTCTTTTCAGTACAAAAATAGCATGGTTATCTGAAACACCTTGTACGGGCTGACCATTAGTGGGTGTTCAGATACAGGGCTTTCCAGTGGTCCAGCTGTACCCAAAAGGGGGAATCTACTTGTGCCTTTGGAAGTACTATGTGAAAGCCAATATACAAAATAACCCATATTTTTTTGATGCCCTTTGTGCACTGAAGGAGTTTTGCCTGGTTATGAAGTTACTCAGGTGTGACTCATTTGATTTAAGTTTAATAGATTTATGCTCTAGGAGAAAAATTTTTATCTCACTGGAATGTCAGTACTTCTAAAAAGTATCCCAAAGTAGGTGCTGTGTGCCTAAATAAAACCATAAACTAGTGTTCTTGAAGGTGAAGGGAGGACACTTCGCATTAACACTCTGTGAGAAATTTCTGAACCTTATAAACATTTGCTGTTAATCTCTGGGCACCCTAAAGCAACGAACGGTACAGAGAACTGTTACCTCTTGAACAAGATGCTCACAAAGCCAGCACAGAGCAGAGAAAGCTTAACTGACTGTTTAATGAGTTGCTGAACAGTTTTAAAATAAAGAAAAGCCTAGAATTTCACTTTATTTAGTGTCTGTGTCAAGGTTTTGATGTTGAAATGGCATCATTTGCACTTGCAATAGATTTTTGAAAGCAATAGAGACAGCAGTTATATTTCAGTTATGCTCACTCAGTTGTTGCACTGCATTGGAAAACATTTATTTTTAGAAATGCTTCTAGATTTTAAAATTATATTAATTTCTAGTAATTGTTCTCTGGCTGAATTTACATGCCATATTGGCTTCTGCAATGATAAATACTTCTCAATAGTTATCCCTGCTTGTAGATGCAGTTAAACTGATCTGCAAGTAAACATCTCCTCATCTGCTGACTCGGCTTTTGTTGGCCAGCTTTCAAAGTGTCCATGTGGTAGCTTAATTAAATTGATTGCTTTTAAAAGCAGTCAACAAATACTGCACAGGCCCTGCGATTTGTTTATATGCCTCATGATTTAAAGTAGTTTCTCGTCCCAGTTTGTGCTTTTGGAGCACAAGTAGGCTATTTCCAGGAGAGTCGGCACGCTCTCTGGCCTACGGAATCTCCAAATATTGTTGAAGTAAAGATATATGTGATAGCTTCAAGGGGTAGTAAAATTGGAGAACGTATGCAACCTAGACTCAAGAAGTCATTTCGAGCTTATACATTCTAGAGCCAACTTTTAGGTACTTTCTGAAAAATGCCAAAAAGAGCACTTCATCCATCTCACCGAAAATCAGAGTACAATGCGGTGAGCGAGGTACGTTTATGGTGCAGTTCATTTTTCAGTTCACGTACTCTTAAATATTTAAATAAATGTTAAATTCAAGTTTTGTTGTAACAGTCGGCCTGAACACAGCTAAATTGCAGCAACCCACTGGTAAAGCCAACACTTCAATTTGGAAATGTCATCATTTACCTGCAGTTTTATGCATTTATCTTACCTGGAGTATAACACCTCTGACATAAATGTATAGCAGCCCATTTATTTACGGAGTTATGCTTGCATATCTCAAAATAAATTTTAATATCCTCTTAAGAGCTTATAGGACAAATTGCAGATCCATTGCATTTAAATAAGATGTACTGTATTTATAGCTATAGTTTTGAAGCAAAGCTGTGGATCTTTACATCTTTAAGTGAATGCTAAAAAAGCATTTGTAAATTAGTTTTTTTTTTTTTTTACCATAAATGGAAAAATCAAGAAGGAAATTTCCCCTGATGTTGTGTATGGAAAGAAAGTCCATGTTGTCCTGTAGGTAAAATTAGTGTTTTCTGTAGGTTTCAAGCACGATGTTAAATATCATCCTAATGATAAAACTTGTGATTCTTTTACAGATAACACCTGGTTGCTTCAAGGACAGTGTCCGTCTGGAGAAATAAAGGATGTTTCTTGTCAAACTGTCATTCCCTTTCAGTTACCCGGGCACTGTCTCTCGGCTGAGGCTCTCCTGGCTGTCAGAGCGTGCCTCTACTACTGCAGCGCAGGGAGCAGTGCCTGTATGATGGCAGGGGTCTCCTTCAGCCAGCCTTTACACATCGCTGGTGCAAACCAAGGCAACTTGACTCAAGTTGAACTGATCCACACCTTTTTAACCAACTAACCCAAAGGCAGCTCACGTCACGCTTTATTTTACTCTCCGCTGTTTCTGCAGGAGGAGATACGAGTAGATAATTGTCTGTCTTCTGACAAAGCTAAGAAATAATATACTTGGTAAAATGAAGTAGAGTTCCCTACAGCTTTCTGTGGAAATTTTATCACCACAACCTCATTTCTTTTCATTACAGTAGCAGCAATAATATTGTAATACACTAGACTCTGTTGCCAGTTGTGGATACGTTGGATGGATGCCATTCTAAGCAATGAGCAACAACTTTGAGAGTCCTTTGGAAAGAGCTGGTGTTACTTTGTGATGTTACTGTAAGAAGTTCTTTGCACTGCACACACTGTTAGAATAGCTAGATCATTTTTGGACTAACACTTACAAATTCCTTTTGTGCCCTTATTAAATTTTAATAGAATGTCAGAACAAATAGTTTCTTTCTCTAGGTTGCAAAAGAAATGTCTTGCTTATTTTTCTGTGATGGCATTTGACACGTATTTTGAAAATACATCTTAAACTAGGTGCAGCTCTAATTTTATGCAAACTGAGTGTTTTGCTTAACTAGATACGACTGCCTTATGTGAAGAGCAGAGTTTCATGGAAGAATTTCTGTGAAATGAAGTGTTCAAGTTCCTACAGAAGGATTTCATGGTGATTTCTAGCAAAGAATGTGCCTCTCTAATCTGTACATATATATAAAGTAAAAAACCCACAAAACCATGCTGGAGTTTTTCTGATACGTACCAATTTACATTTTGTAGTAAGTGGTAGATAATGGTTGAATATCTAAACTGCAAAAATTAAATGTCAACCATTTCAAGCACAGTGAATCACTTCCCTTTCCTACTATTATGATTTCTCTGTAAAGACTTGTCTGAAGACTTCTGTCTTGCAAATACATAATATTAAGAATAATATTAAGAATAATATTATACTCTTGAAGTCTGATTCAGAGTCTTTTGAAGTCACTGTTAGTCCCCCGGTTTGTAATAGCGGCCGCTGAACCAGAACAATATATTTAATAATGGATTATTTACATTCATATGTAAAGGTTATGGACCTTTGCTAGAAAACTGGTAACCTAATCTTTGAGTAAGGTGTTTTAAAACCATATTACAGAACAACCTTTGGTGGTTAAGTGTTTTGCAAGTAAAATTCCTTCAATTTGCCATTGTAAGTAGCAGGAATACAGGAGAGAATGCAAGTTTTTTACTTGAACTGGAAGAGTTTTCACAGTTCTTAAGTGGAGTTGGATTAGGCTCCGTGCTCTGAGAAGATGATTTTAAGTTTGAAGTTAGTATTTTTACATATATTAGAAAGTACAGTAAGGAAAGAATTTTTATATAGTCGTTTCTAAAACAATCACCATTGTTCCTGACACCTGTCAGTAAATCCCCAGCATGATTTGTTGTTGCTCTTTATTACTTAAAGGCTGACTGAAATGTTGGTCATGAACCCAAGAGGCTTTTGTTTTAAGGGAACCATATGGACTGGTGTGGTTTTTCCTTCCATTGAAATGCCAGTCTATCTGCGAGGTCTCTGCAGTACCAGAAATGGTTATTATCTCACCTGTCAGCAAGGCAAGGGCTGAACTATTATTTTTCTTGTGTTTGTTTTTAAAGCAACTTTTCTAATTCAGTGTTTCAGCACCTTTGGTTAACCCTCTCAGTTCTTACATGCCATTTTGAAGAAGGAGAAAGTTTTGCTACTTTGATCACAGATTGCAAATGCTACTGGAAGTATGAAAGTAAAGAAACCAATTTGGGCATTTATCATGTTTTAGATTTTAGTACAACTCACTCCTTCAAAATTTTTTTGGTATTTTTTAACTTTGGATTGTATCCAGGAAACTTTAGATAAGCTTCCAGCTAACTCACAAATTTTCTGTTGCTTACTGAACAAAACAAGCATTAGTTACAGAAGTTTAGAATAGTGGACTAAGCTCTTACAGTTATCTTGAAAATATAATTCAGCAAATGGATTTTTTCCCCCTCTCATTTTCAACTAGAATGACATTGTATTTGTCTATCTCAATTTGATGAGATCATGAAGTTCTGCCTGAATTCCATTATTCCAAAAAAAAAAGGTCAACAAATCTGTTTTCTTATTGACACTTTTTAATTACTGTATTGCTGTGGGGAAAAGACCATGTATTCCTAACTTTATTTAACTATAGAGTGTAATGTTTAAATATGGTATTGTAGATATGTTTTTTCTAACTAAATATGTAAATACAAAAGTGTGTTTATGTCATATCCTTCTTGGTTTCAAGTTTTGACTTTTAGTAACTGTGTGTAGACACACTCAGAAGCTCTAAAAGCTTATTGGGAGAGGGTGATAGTAGGTAGTAGGAAAACCGTTACACAAACATGAAGCTGAAATCGAGGATCAAGCTGTAGCCAAATTTTACACGATTATATTTCAAGGGAAATAGTTTCAGCTTTACTAGTGGAGAACAGGAATGTATCTGTTTGAACCCATTTTTTCTTTAAGTCCGTGTCTTGTGGCAGATGACTGAATCTTATAGAAATTAGGGGAGTGGGGGGTGGTATACTATATCTGTGCTACCATTACTCTTTCTACAAAACCTCAGAGCATTTCTGCTACTGCACCATAATGGCTTTATGCTAAAGGAGAGGCAGAAGGTGTGATACCATCTCAAAAAGACACACAGACCACTATTTACAAGGAAAGACTGTATATCCCAAAACGCTTTCCCCCCCATATGCAGTAAGTCCTAACCCCTTTTAGGCAAGAACCCTTTTAGTTTTCACTGGAGATCTGCTTTTCCTGACTCACTTTAGTGGGTTTCACACAGGGACACTGCTCCGATTGTTCTCTTTCATCATCTTAGGAGCATTTCATTCTCAGTGTGCTCCAGCTCTCGCTGATGAGGTTACTGGGGTTCCTCTGCTCCTCGCGCAGTCTGTGTGTTCACTGGCATTTAATACTATGTTTTGTTTGTCCAAGAAATAGCATACACATTCCTGGAGTCATTCCTTCTGTTTCTCTTGTGGTGTACAGACATTTGAACATTCTACAATTAGAAAAACATGTTTTTTAGAAGCTCATGATGTTTAGGGATACTATTTCCTTTGCTTCCTCCAGGGTTTACAAGATGCTTTTAACAGCAAAGCAACAAGTGCCATAAATGTAATGAGGCAGGCAAACAGAATAGCTTGTACAAGGTACAGAAAGTTATTTCAGTTAAGTACCAGAAAGCATCTTCAAAATATTATTCAGAAAAATAGAAAATGTTATTGCTGTGTCTCAATACTGAAAAATCAGATATACTGATGACTGCTCTCTCATTGTATAGTGATCTAATTATTAGTGTTTCCTGATAGAAAAATTCTGAGCAGGTTGGCTCAGCACTCCCAGATTTGTATCCTGCAGTAAGAGTATGTGATTCAAAGCCTTTTCAAAACATGTCTTTCTGCTGACTTTAATAGGATTTGCATCAGACCTTAATAAAGTAGTGCATTACTATAGTACATCTCTATAGCAAATCTCCAAAGAATATTGGTCGTGGTTGTATTGTATAATGGAAACAAGTTCAGTGGCATTTGCAGTTTAGTTCTAGTGTTTACTTTCCTGGAACAGCTTTTGGTTTTGAATGAATATATTAATAGTTCCATGAGATGTTTTTAGAAATTTAATTTAATTATAGTACAATATTCTTCATTATACTAGGAAAAACATAATGTGGTTTGTAAGAGGGAGCGTAATGTATTTTAATAGCTTTTTCATGTTGTTTGAATTCTGTAGTAACTTTCTGTTGTTTGTTCCCTTCTGTTTAAAGAAGAGGGGGGATGCTGGCTGCGTAAACCTAGTGGTGGGCACATATTTTATCCATACATTTTTAGTTGATTCCTTTTTGTGTTACAGTCTCACATGTCATTTTAGGCTTTTCTACTGGATGCACTTCTTCATAGTTGGTGTTTCTGCTTGTAGAGCACTATGTTTGTGTAACACTGTGGGAATGCCATGATACAAAGCAAGTACAGGTGAGATGAGTAACACATGAGAAAGTAGTTTTATAGCATCATGTAAATGCCTTATCTGCTTACCCTTAAACAAGGTGCATATGGCTTCCAGCACATTGTATATATTCTTATTATACTTTTTTTATTCCGATGGGCAAATCTTGTAACTCAAAACAGTGGGTAAAACTATTTTTTGTGAGAATGTCAAGAAATACTTATTCTTGATCTCTTGCTCAGAGGAGGAGGATGATCAGAATGAAGTGACCTTCCTTCTCATGCAGGGGCATATCCTTCTCTTCCTTTAATTATTATTTATTTTAGCAAAGAGACTTGTATTATTGACCATAAATTCTTTTGAAATTTTGATTCTTGACAAGGTTTTCTACATACATGGAAGCTTTAAATGCCTGGCTTTGTAGAGTTACGAGGGATGGCTTATGGTTTAGCAGACAGTAATAGAGATTTATGTACATTCTTAGATCTGTACTTTTTTAAAATCGCTGTTATTCATTAAGACTTACCTCAGAGACATGTTGCAGCTAAACCCCCACAGAATTGTCTTAGTAAACTCTGTATTGCAGCTCAAATGTAAGTTTTCCTGCGTGTATAATGTGCAAGAGCTGCTGTGACATGTTGTGTGTGTGTGTCCTCCAGGCTGCATTTGTGCTACCTGAAGAGAATTTACCATGCAGCAGCTTATCAGCCACACGCAGTAACTCTCAACTCAAATCTGCCACCTTACTTGTTCATATAATCAATTAAAATTACTGATTTATGTTAGAAAAGATTTAGTACTTAGAATTAGTCATCATAATTTTAATTTAAATTGGTTTGTCAGGGATTAGAGGAGCTTCTCTGTCCTGAGCAAGGAAAGTGTAGGAACGGTGACAATTGTTGCCGATAGTTGTTGAAAAATGTGAGACCTGGTTATTTTTTAATTAAACCACCATATCTGTCTTTGTATTCTACAACAGATCATGAATTTACAAATGGTATTTATAATATTTTACATTCCGTTGTATTCATATAACCAAATAGGATTACTGTCTTCCATCCAAAGCAGCTGTTCTTCCGTTTTCAGGTTTCTGTACTATCGTATGTAAAATCACTTACTCTAGTTAAGGATTAGGATTTATTCTTATTAAGGATTCGGCACACCTGTGATTGAGTTTCTGGGTTTATCTTAGTTTCCTCTCATAATATTATGGGGGATTTTGGTTAGGCTTTTTTGGATCTATTTTCTCCTCCTGTAGTTTCCCCAAGAATGAAATGCAGCCAGTATCTTGTTCCCATGGAGAGATGCAAGTAGGATAAATCCCTCCACCAGCTCCTTGTCCCTCCCCTGCTTCAGGACTGAGGATGTGAGCACTAAGTGTATAAGGCTGTCCCATGTAAAGATAACACTCCAAAAGGGTGCAAATTCAGGGACTGGAGCAATAGGACAAGGGGTAACAGTTTTAAACTGAAAGAGAGGAGATTTAGATTAGATATTAGGAAGAAATTCTTTCCTGTGAGGGTGGTGAGAGCCTGGAACAGGTTGCCGAGAGAAGCTGTGGCTGCCCCATCCCTGGAGGGGTTCAAGGCCAGGCTGGATGGGGTTTGGAGCAACCTGGTCTGGTGGGAGGTGTCCCTGCCCAGGGCAGGGGGTTGGAACTCGATGATCTTTAAGGTCCTCTCCAACCCAAACCATTTTATGAAATGAGGTGAGGATTTCAGGGTGAGTTACACCACGACACTGTTCCTCAAAATGCACAGCCCTAGTGCAGACTGACTTTCTGGGGTTTCCTGCTTCCTAGGTCTACTTCTCTTTACAGCCTGTAAGGTCTTGCTCCATAAAGGTGAGAATTTTCCCTTTATTATTCCTGCAAAAACCTTTATTTAAGATAACCTGGTAATAATTACTGAAATCTAGGACCTATCCAGACCTTCCCCCGTGGTTCTAGGTAGCATTCGAATCACATAATGTCCTCAGGTCAACTTCATCAAGCTTCACACTGATGCAGCTACCATCAAAATTTTTACCTTTACCTCTGGCCCTCTCTGGTGAGGTCCTGAAGGTCCTTCTAGATCTCCCAGAACCATCCCATCAAGCTTGAGTAGTTTATATAGGGATTATGATGGCTCTTAGTTTCAGGAAGCTTTGATACTATAAATGAATTACTTTGGCTATTAGGTGATTTAAAGGATGCCCCAGTTTGGTATCTTCTTGCAGATTGTGCTTAATTCTTCTCAGAGGGTAACACATTTCTGTCACAGCTGCAAAACTGGAAACCTGGGGTATAAGTTGAGGAGTGTTTGTGCAGCTATAATTGCTTGCTGCTGAGCGTACCTCTTTGTTGGTCCGTTGCTTTCAAGCCTACCAGAGAACTCCTTGTCCAATTGCAGGCCTTAGGGCTAAGCAAAAGAATTGCGAGTGTTTTTCAAGTTTTGCCTAATTCCTTTGAAATAATTTTGAGCTAAAGAAATCCCACTTGTACAAATCTGTTCATACGTCGGCCTTAATTTAATGCTCTGTACTCACCATGCCTCAGAAGAACAATATTCCACACTGTATTTTCCCCCTTTTGGCAAAGTATTTAGAAACTCAACTCATCTGGCCATTGTCAGACTTCATAGAAGGCACGATAATGATTTTACATTCATGTTTTTTAAAAATAAGAGCTTGTTTTTCAAGCTTTTGGTTAAACTGAACTACCTGGTTTTGAACCATCCATTCAAGGAATCTGTGCTGAGAGTTGCCTGGCTCAGGTAACTGGCTTCCAGATTTTAAAAATTTGGAGTTGATAGTCAAGCAGAGGAACAGAATTGCTAAGTGTTTTATATTTTGAATGTTTAACTTCAAAGCTATCCAGTTTCACTTTTAAAGGAGAATTAGTGCAATTAATACTTTCTCTTCTGTAAATCAGCATCAGTAATATACCATTAATCTTTGCATCGTTAAAACCTGTGATGGATCTGTGGGGTTTTGTAAAGAAATTAATAAAGTAAATAGGGTGGTTGTAAAACTGCAACTGGGTGAAATCCAGGCGCTCCAAGGTTAGCAGCAAATATCTTTAGGGCCAAATGGGACAGAAATTCTGCATTTTTCATTACATCGTGATGGCTGAAGGGAAAAAATCAGTGCCTTTCATAACAATACTTGAAAGTGTATCTTTACAGAGGAGCTGGAGTGCTGGTTGAAATAAGGTATTTGTTCTTCTTGGTTGGCAAGGGTTTTTAGTTCTCTACTAATTCTGAAACTGTGAAGAGTTTTTCTTCTCCTCTATGTTTTTGAATTATGTTGAAACTAAGGTGCTTTTTGTTCAAGCTACTCTTTTTACCAAGTACTTTAATATGTTTTTTTCTCAGTGTTGTGAAAATAGTTACCTCTTTCCTACAATTCAGAACAGACTTGACAAGGAGATTTCAGACATCTTGCTGAAATTGTGGTATGAGTGAGACAGGAGGCAAACCATTCATTGATCTAAAAGGGCGAGGGTGCTGCTGCGTGGTGTTTGAGGGGTGGAAGGTTGGTCTTTGGTGTGGGTTTTGTTTTCCTCCTGTACTCTACGGATCAGCAAAGGTTCTTTAAATGGCAGAAGGTTGTGTGTAAAGGCTGTAGGGAGAGGTCAGGTTCTCTCATTGTGAAACCTTGTAACTTCATTTAGTGTCTGATGCTGGGATGTCTACAAATCCCAGCAGTGTAATGCTAGTGAAGAAAGTCACATCTGAGCACTTAACACCTGAATAAATGTCTCCATATGGTTTAAGGGGAAAGACGTGGAGTTTTTTTCTTCCTTGAGAACTTCAGTGTTGCTTTGTGGATATTGGAATATTTTTGTCTGCTCTTTGAGATACTAAACCTCACTTTTTCCATTGTATTTGATACAATGCCTTTCAGATATCTGAACATTTAAAAGATGTGTTTTATGTTTGTTGCTACAAAACATGCGAAGAATTGAAACTGAAGGCACTTCATCTACAGCTGCTGTAGATTGTGTAAATTCTTCACACACTGCATTGCCTACTAGCGTTCTTAACAATATTCATGGATTATGATCCTTTTGAAATAAAAGGTAAATGTCCTGTAATATTATGAGAACAAATTAATACACTGTAGAAGAAATGTCAGCCTCGGATATCAATTCAACAAATAAACAGTGATTAAAGAATGTACTCCTTCTCCTGTGAAACCTCTTTCTCCTTGTAAAGCTTTTTCATTGAAAAATAAACATCAAAAATTTTACCTTTTCTTTCAAGGCTGGGTTTGTCTGTCCGTTTTTACACGAACGTAGATGTGGAAAGTTATTAAAAGCGTCGGCCATAAGGGGTTACAGCGTGATTAAAATCCTTTTAATTGACAAGTGCTGCTTGTTTCCCAGTCCCTTTCCCCGGGGGCTGGGCAGTCGTGGGTGTGAGCGGCCGTTCGGCCACACGCGGGTGGGTAAATCGCTGTGCGGCCGGGAGGGCTCCCTGGTTCCTCTGTTCTGTGGTGGTCTGAAAACATGAGATCTGGTTTTATTCCACGTAAGAGGATGAGAAATGAGTGTATTGCATGAGTCATAGACCGACTGTTCTGTAGCCTTCAGTTTATTGCTCAGCCCGGAGAAGAGAAGGCTCCGGGGAGACCTTATAGTGGCCTTTCAATATCTGAAGGGTGCCTATAGAAGAGCTGGGGAGGGACTCTTTGCCAGGAAGGGTAATGATAGGACAAGGGGAAACGGTTCTAAATTGGAAGAAAAAAGATTCAGATTAGATATCAGGAAGAAATTTTTTACTCTGAGGGTGGTGAGACACTGGAACGGGTTGCCCAGGGAAGTTGTGGCTGCCCCATCCCTGGAAGTGTTCAAGGCCAGGTTGGATGTGGCCTTGAGCAACCTGCTCTAGTGGGAGGTGTCCCTGCCCAGGGCAGGGGGGTTGGAACTAGATGATCTTTGAGGTCCCTTCCAACCCAAACCATTCTATGATTCTATGATTGCAGAGGCCCCAGAGCAGGTTTAGCTGCTGGAGCAGATCTCGATGCATTGAGCTCCCTGTCTGTAGCCGTGTAACTGTAGTTAAACTGTGCTTCAGTTTGCAGTGTGTGGGTGTCTGTTTAATAATTACGGTTGAACCATATTTTTAATAGCAGCTTCTAAAAAAATATAATCATTTTTTTATAATTGTTTTACCTCAATAGCACTTTTGCAGCTTGGACTAAGAAGAAGCGGATACAGAGCTGGTGCTAAGACCAGCTTCTCGCGTGCACCGGTGCAGCTGAGGACTGATACCAACACACCTACACAGATAATCCTGTATTTGTGTTGCTCATTGAACTCTAGGTGAGCCCCAGCAATCATAACTGTAGCTCTGTTGAATTTTTTCCCCTTGCTAAAGATTATTCCTAATGGCTATTCATCCATTCAAATATTTAAAAATGTTGTACATACTGCTTATAAAACTCACCTGACTTTCTCTGATTTCCATCCAGATTAAATACATTCATTTTAGCCTGATGCAGTAAGTCTGAATTTGACATTCAAACAAATTTATTTGCAATTTCCAAGTTTTGTTGGAGCTTCTTCCAAGCCCAACTCATCCCCAGCTGTTACCTTAGTATTCTTAAAACAATAAGCCTGTACGTACATAGCCTGGGACATTCTATATGTGAACTTATAGTGTGTGTAGTGGCATTTGTGTGACCGAGCTGGGCTCGTCAGAACCCAGGGAGGCACTGCCTGGTAGAGATTTCTATGGTTGCAAAGTCGCTCCTCTAGGAAATAATTAATTAGGTTGTTTCTAAAAGCAAGGGAAAGGAGCCTTTCATTTGAATTTCGCTAATGGGGCCAAGATATTTTCTTGTTATTGCAAGGGATTCTGCAATCTCCTGCCAAGAGGAACTTATCTGGAGATTGGATAGATGGGGCTTTAAAAAGCTTCGCTCCCTGCCCTGTCCTTCCCATCTGAAGTAGTTTCCTGTAGCTGTTCAAAATCATGACCCTGCTGCCTCATCTGAATTTTATCTTTTCTGCCTGTCACCCTGATATTTCATACACACAACCCCACCAGAAACTGAAAACAATACCTGCTGGCTATTGTATGTGCCACTGTGTGTAGCAAAATTCTCCCCTGGCTGCAACTGGGCTTTCTGGAGCTGGTTTGTTCTACTTTTCCCTCTTCCTTAAGCACAGAAATCAAAGCAGAGGTGAGGATCTCAGCCTTCGATGGTAATAGAGAAACTGTCTAAGGTATTGCTACAGCAGCACGTGGTGTTTCTTTCATTTTTTGGAAAAGCATT